TATTTTTAATTTGAGTTAGTTTTTATAGTGCACAAGTAGTTTTTATTTTGTGTGTCGTTTTTTTTTAAATGACTTTTTAGATTTGACTTATTGCAGGGTTTCCACTTTTTTATTTTATTTAAAATTTAGTTGTGGTTTTAGTTGGTTTTTATGGTGCACAACTAGTTTTTATTTTGTTGTATAGTGTTTTTTTATTACTATTTTTAAATATAGCTTAGGGTTTCAACCTTTATTGATCGATGCATTTTTATTTTGTTTTATATTTTTTAATTTAAGTTTTAGTTACATTTATGGTGCACAGCTAGTTTTTATTTTGTGTATATTTTTGAAAACAGTATTGTTTATATTTTACTTTTCCATTTGTTTTACAATCAATACATTTTTTTCTGAGTTTTTATTTATTTACTTACTTACTTATTTTTAAATACTGGACAAGCTTTTTAATTTTTTTTAATTTTTCTAATTCAGCCCATTTCAACTTATGATTATATGCATAACTTTTTTCCCCCTGAAGATGAATCATACTTAAAATAACACCAAATTACCTTTGAAGTTGAAGTTTTATGCATCCAATACAAGGCACCACAGCATACTGCAGTTAATGAATCATGCTATAAATGTGCCATTGCTGAAAATTTAGCAGTAAATTGTAACTACCGTAACTCTGGACATTTATGATTCAGCAACTTTGACTGGCTCCAATCAGGTCTGGTGTCAGTCTCAGAATGCCCACAGAGAACAATACTCTCTGATTTACCAAAAAGACTGACACCAGACAGAAACAGTCATGCGTAATGCAGGTTTATCTCACAATTGCATTTAATCGTTTCTTTTTCTTCCTGACTCAACTTCAATTTGTAGTTTTCAGGTTTAGAACAAAGAAGAAATTGTAGTAAACACAGCTGGGGTTTCTATGAGCATCTGTTGTGACTTTGTACGTGATAAAGTTTCATTAAAATTTCAGATATGACCGTGAACATTTAAATAACTGTAATAAGTTAGTGAAGCTAGCAAAAGAAAGAGTTCACCCAAAACTATGCACTTTACAAAAAACACTGCAACAGTCCAGACTGTAAATGCTAAAGTTCTGGTCAGCACTCTTCTTTTGGGACAATATCTCCCAGCATGCTGGCAGTTTAAAATGAAATCAGGTGTTTTTCTACTTAATGAAACCAACCTGGCAGATATTACACCCATTTTGCCCATCTGCTGAGTATCAGTATGAGCAGGACGGGCCCCTGGAGCTCCTCTGATTAGAGTGTGTGTCTGTGTCTCAACATGAGAGGAACGGGCCTCTGAAGTCCCTCTGATGAGTGTGTGTGAGGGAGTGTTTCTCAGCATGAGAGAGAATGGCCCCCGTGATGCTGTGTGTGTCTCAGTGTACTGTATATGTCCTCATTCTGAAGGACAATGGATGCTATAATATTATAAAATAAACTGGATGCTACTCAGAATTTAAAGCAGCTAAAACTGCTGACAAACAGAAACATTAGCAATGTTTAACCACCAAAAAGATACAGCGCTGGATTTTTTTTTGTTTGTTTTAGTGCATAAACCAGTTCATTCACATTCATCTGTCCAAATAAATGACTTCTGTAAGATGAATTGGGCTTACAAATGCAACTTGAATGAGAAAGGACATTTTAAGAAAATTTCAAG